TGGAGCTCATCAGGTAGGCGCAGTCCCCGAGTTTCCGTCAACTTTATGTTTTACTTGAAACCAAATTACACTAGCTTAGCGAAATAGACTCATTTGCAAACTAATATGATACCTCGAGGTGGTGGGCGATTTGCAGTTGAAAGTAACTAGCGAGGTCCACGTCACCGAGAGTGATGGCCAAGGCGGTAGAAATCGCCAAGCATCCCGGTGTTAATAGACTAGAAGGCGTGGAACTGGCAAGCGTGTGGAGAACGGTTTTGGATCAGTCGACCTGACGCATGTTGGTGTACGGTCGTCAGAAGGAGGAGCAGTCGTCATCTGAATTCCACTTGATCTCACCTCCCTCAACTAAATTGTCGCAGTACGGATTGTGAAGAAGCCCGCAGGCAAATTTGTGATGCAATACTCGTAAGGTTGCTGAAAATTCGTCGCCACCTAATGAGTAGTGCACCACAAATATACACCTGTATCGCGATATCTCGAATATCGTACCGACTGAAACATGAGGCGGCCTGGTGCAGCACATTCAGTTGCCTGGAAACATCACAAACGAGAGATTCAGCTGGGTTCCAGGTGAGTCTCTCGAAAAACCAAATTGGTTTGTAAATGAGTGTATTTCTCTAGTGACGGAGGCTCTTGGTTGTACTTCCCGAAATTAGGAAGGTGAAATGTATCAAGATGTCGTTCTTGCTAGCACTATCGAGATTCTCAACGATGATTGGTAAAGCATGTATTCTTATAGTCAATCAATCCGGTGGATAGCACATAGGACAGCTGGAAACAGTTCGAAAGTTCGCTTTGTACACGGTTCGGTAAACCACTGCGGTAGTAGATACAAGGCTGGTAGTGAAAACCGCGTTGGTCTTGACGGTGGTAACAACTTTACTTAAATTTTTAGGAGTAACCATCTGCTTCCACCTGCTACTCAGAAAGATCTCACGGTTCGTCGTTAGTTTGGTATTGATTGCTGGACATTTTAGCTTCAGCCTCACTTTTTGACGGATTAAGTGATGTTTGTGTTACACGACACCTAGCTAAACAGAAGTCAGGACAATTGTGACGGTTCACACTACTAACCACATTGTTGCGTACCAAACTACCATCACAAGATAATGTCTATGGAAAAACTGCAGATTCGAACCCCACCCACATGCTTACCAGCATTGAGGCAGCGCCGACCAACTATGGAAAATCCCAAAATTTTAGAAACGGCAGCCAAGTATGGTCAGGAAGCGGTGTATTGTTCTGTTGGTAAAACTTGCCCAAACACTTCAAATAGGAATTTTAAGCAACTCTACGAGCTGCATGAAAGACAGGCTAAAACGAACTGACTGGATTCCGGGAGTCTTCCTGTCCCTTTAAACGGAAACATCCATAAGCAAAAACAGTTTTGAGGTCCGAGAGAGCCAACCGAACAAACAAGGGCCAGTACGTACAAACGTATCGATCGATATACGATGGAGAATTAGGTATTTTTCCCTTTGCCCGGCGTCAGATTTGGCTACACAAAACTCTGAGGGGCAGACTTGAAACCCCTTCCCCCACCGTAGTGAGAAATACGGTTAATCGAAGGTTACACTTGCTCGAATAAACTCTTCCATTAATCTGTACTTTTAGAAAAGAGGCGATTCGAATTCACCAGTAAGTACTATTGAACCAAAAAGCTTGAACCAAGTAGACCTGATCGATCACCAGGAGCATATAGATCAGTTAAATTACACCCGCTTTTATAGTGTATCTGGTTGGTCCGAAGAGGCATGTTGCAGTTTAAAAGACTCAACACTACGACAATCTAGCAATTTGTTTTTTTACCACAAATTGGGTTACAGTGAGGAAAGCTTTAGAACCACACCACCAAGACGGAAAATACTTCATGATCTTTCATTCTGAAGTATTTCTACTGTGAGTATAAAATAACTTTATAATTCGATGTGATCTGCACATGCATGGTGCTCGAAAAAATATACACTCGTGGAACTAATTGCGGTCGCTTATGTTACACAAAATTTCACCAGTTGAATTGGAAAGATCCTAGAGAATGCACTAGGTTTTTCAAATGATAACTAAAAATTTTTAGATTTTTCTGGCCCTGAATACTAGACGGCAATGTAGACAAGGCTCAATTTGGGCCTTTCTTCGATATTTTTAGATTTTTCTGGCCCTGAATACTAGACGGCAATGTAGATAAGGCTCAATTTGGGCCTGTTCTTCGATAAAAACTGACAAATCATATTCGTTTGGGTGAAAGTAAAATTGACACTGAAATAACAAGGGGCGAAAAATGACACAATGGGTTTTGCCACCTCTGTCCGCTTTGAACTTGCAGCTAGGTCTGTGAAACAACAGTGGAACAAGCATAGGGGTGACGCTGTGATTAGCCATCTGTAACCAGTTCCGCTCAACCCATCGAAAACGATATAAAAATGTTCTTAAGGCTGGCTTTGGCACGAACGTACCACAGGGGTTACGCTCCATTCTCAGCATTCATGGTCGGTGGGTCATAAGATCTGTCTCACAAGTACTGTTAGTATTTCCCGATATTCTGAACGGCCAACTGCGTCTGCTTTGAATATCCCTTGATTTTTCGTAGATTCAGACAAACAAACGTTGGTTCTCGACGCAAAAGTGTGCCGCCCTGACGCGACCGTTCTCGATAGTTAAGACTAACTTACTCCAAGGGTATGGGTCAGATGTTAACCTAGTATCAAAAATAAATATTGACGAGATGTTGGTACAGTCCAGTAAAAAAATCCTCAAGACTTCGTAAAAAACCGATGCAGAATTCCTAAAGAATGTCCGTGAGAGATAAACGTGTGAAAGCAATCTCCCTATATTCATGACCCGAAGATGCTGTAGGTGTGAGGCTAGAAAGTGAAAGCAGAAAATCCCTTTACAACACGTATTCTTCTTTTCGAAAGTCATTGAATCTCAATGGTTTTTTCGATACGTCCATAAAAATGCAATAAGGAAACGCGTCAGTTTTCGGCATAAAATTTCACAGATAGAGGACGTATTTGAAAAGACGTGAAAGTCGCAAATGAACAACAGGAAAATTTGATATCACTCATGTAATACTACCGGTTTATTGCCACTAGAATCGATCACGGTTAGTCGCACGTGGCTGACGAACGTTGTCGTTTTAATAAATGCAATCCAGGTTAGTAGCCTGTGTCAACCATACACAAGATGCAATGTATCCCATGGTGGGTCACCTCAAAAATAACCTGGCGTTCGACTCCCTCCGAATAAAAACAAACCAAAAGCTATTTTCTCCGTAACGGTCTATTCTGTAGAGAGTAGTGTATCTGGTTGGTATGCTCCTCTTATTGAAGAGACATACGCCAACGGATTTCTTGATCCGCAATTTTGAAACAAGGCAAACGACCCACGATCGGATACGGACAACAAACACACATACCACCTGAAGTAGTTTCCCCTGTCGTTCATTGGTTACTGTTTTGCTCCGAGATCCCCATTTGTTCGTTTCTATATAACTGAACAGGTTAGAGTTTTTATGACGTTTATTTCGGCCGTTTCGTACACATGAAATATAGCCTTAAATTCGTATTTTATATCGATCTGCGAAGTCTGATGTCACCATCCACAAATTTCCAAAAGAAAAAGGCAGTGATTGTATCAGTCGTGAAGAAGTCAGTCCTAGCGCGCGCTGCACCTGCAGATAAAAAGGGATCACACGTCCTTAGAGCTGAAAACACACGCTTGTACACTATCAGAACGGCAAGTGTCAGCCGCGTCCACGAGAAGTTCCATCCAAGTTAATCAAAATACCAGCCAGAAAAGCCGAACTGCGAAACAGCGCGTTTGAAAAGATTGGAAGTAGACGCGACTTGTTCGGGGGAGCTCAGGGAAGCATAATGTAATGATGGGGCCTCTCTGTGGGGGGGAGGTATCATGGCGCGCCTCCGAAAAGGTAAACCAGAAAGACCGAAGATGGGTTTTACCGAGCTCCATCGTCTGCAACCGAAGTCAGGTCACCCAAAATATTATCAAAACCTTCGTCGATGGTAAACCGCTGCTTGATTCCAGTCATCGAATATACATTCATTCGTCGTTCACAGTGATTACAACATGTCACTTATTTTAACTAACCTGAGTGGGTTAAAGTACGACTTACTGACTGCTATTGGTGTAGCACGTGTGCACAGAAAGACTTCAGAGTGATGTTACACTTTTTTCCGGTTCTACACTTTCATATTACGGTCTGTTTTCTTTAAAAAAGTTTGAAAATCTGACAAATTCACTAAATGTTCCGGTTCACCGGGCGCTGAAGTTTACATTTCTAAATGGTTCCGTTTGATTCGTACCAAGATTGATTGTGTTAGAATATATAATGACCGGTCACGAGTCGAACAGTTGCACTGTGGAAGCTAAGCAAGAGTTGGACGACAACCGTTGGCTAAAAGTGATATCATATCAAACACCATGTTTGCACGTTTGAACTAAATTGCACCAAAGACATAGGGTTTTTAGACACCAGTGTGGGGAAAAAGAATTCTCAATGAAATAGAACCATGGAGGGTATGGCACCCCGGGAGAGCAATATGCAGTGTCATAAATCTTGCGAAATAGGAGTACAGAAACCAAATGAAAAACTCGGATCACGTTTAAAATTTGCACTGTGGAAGCTAAGCAAGAGTTGGATGACAACCGTTGGCTAAAACTGACATCATATCAAACACCACGTTTGCAAGTTTGAACTAAATTGCACCAAAGATAGGGTTTTTAGACACCAGTGTGGGGAAAAAGAATTCTCAATGAAATAGAACCATGGAGGGTATGGCACCCCGGGAGAGCAATATGCAGTGTCATAAATCTTGCGAAATAGGAGTACAGAAACCAAATGAAAAACTCGGATCACGTTTAAAATTTAATTAGATACCATTCCGTTGAAGATGATTAAATTAGGAGTTTTGAAGAGCGGTTGGATAGGAAAATGATTCGCCAGCTCGCATGTTTCACACCCTTTTTGCAGTTTTTAGCTCAAACAAGATTGGATGGCCTATCCAAGTGGAATCGCACGTGACCAAGATGAAGGATTTGGTAGTGAATTCAAACAAAAGGTAGGTGATGAATTAGCCAGCAGAAAAAGTCGATTATAACACTTTGAACAAGAAATGAAAATTCCTGACTTGACATTTTGGCTACCTGATGAAGGTCTCTTTAGGTTACCCAGCGAAAACAAATCTATTGGGAGCACGGTACAGTTCTGCTTTTTTAAATTTACTAGTGCTGTATTCAGTGACCTGTCACGCACCGACTTCGCATCCACTACGCCGTATCTGTGCACGGTAGTGGAAGGTTCGATGCTATCTTTCCTTCCCAGTTGCGACCAACTTCTGATAGAGCTAACTTCTTTTTAGTTTTTCCATGCCGTACGACAACTTACTGTAGATGCACGTAGACGTAATACACTACTCATAAGGTCGCTGAAAACGCTTCGACAGTCCGCGACCGGTTTCGCCCTCCTTGGGGCGCATCAGGTAAGTGCCGTGTCCGAGTTTTCCGTCGACCCAAATGGGACGCATTTCAACAAACACGCTCATTTGCATATCTGTTTGGTCTTGACGGGAGACTCACCTGGAACCCAGCTGAATCTCTCGTTTATGATGAACTAGACCGCCTCGTGTTTAAGTTGGCACGCTACATGTATATACTTAATACACTACTCATGAGGCTGCTTAAAACAACATAAACGAGAGGTTCAGCTGGGTTCCAGGTGGGTCTCTTGTCAAAGCCAAATTGACAGGTAAGTGAATGTATTTGCCAAGAAGCTTAGACGTTTGAATTTTCAGCTTGCGTTCTATAAAATAGGGATGGCTTCATTCCAGAATCAAAGTGTTTTCTCATTCGTTTTTGGTTCAGTTGTCGCGATATGTAGAAACGGATAATGCGAAATTCCCAGTCGCTTTTAAAGGCCTCAAATATGCTGTTGAACAGGATTGGGAGAATAAACTCGGATACAGATCCAAATACTACTCTAGGTGAACATGTTAGAAAGTTTGGAGGACTTATTAAGTGACTACACATTACTGTCGCTTTCAGCGATTGTCATCGCAAAGAATTTGAAGAACTCTCGTAATATTTTCAATGAGTGAACCAAACTGTACTGGATATTCAAATGTATCCAGAGGCGACCGGGATCTACTCAATGCACACACAGTAGTAAAACAAAAGGAGATAGATATTTGTTTTCGAATACTGATCGAGAGATAACAGATCAATTGTATGAGTATATAAGTACTACACCATAAGTAACGTTAGGCAGTAGATTAGTCAAAAAACATTCAGACATTCTGGTCATGTACTAAACACACCAAACGTTTGTTGGTACACACTGTTGGACATGCAAACTCTTATCTACTGTCCGGTTAGCTTAGAACTGTAGTTACCTGGTTGGTTAATACGTATGGCAAACTAATATTCACACAGTTTGTCACCCATAATTCGCTTACGTGTGTCTTTTTCAACTCTGCGGATTCTTCCGCGGTAAAACGGTAGGCTTGCTAGGTTAGAACGAGGAATGGCATTTCATCTGAGACAAATTGACAACCAGTGGGAAACACATGCAAATGAGCTAAATTGAAACACAGAATTAAGTCCACGCAGTAAAGTGACGACCACAAGTGGACAGACCGAATTCATCATACCGCTAACCCCACGACGCATATTGTCCATTCATGATAGTTGACAAGATTTGGTCGTTGCCAGTCCATGGGCGCAAGGGTGCACACCAATTCGTTGGGGTACGGACGGCGAAACACTTGTCTTCAAGGAATCTTGTTAAGGAATTTCCACGGAAAGGCGCGTGCCATCAGCTCCGAAATCTACCACTGAAGATGTACTCCCTGCTCTATCTCTGCTACTGCCATTGCCAGTACCGTTTTTACTAACTTTGCACATCGAAATGCAGCTCAGAAACCATTAGTCCTAACTGGCTTGTTAAATTCATTGCAAAGAATTTACCTGATGAAGGGCGGTCAGTCCATCTTCGTTTGCCACATCGGGACAAACACCGTTGCTAAGCAATTTTCTGACTGAAATAGGGAAGTTGGAAAAGATTATTGTGAGCTATATAGAAAGGAAAATGAACCTGACCGAAGTTATCGCAATGTTCTGAACTATCAGGATAAGAAGATGAGGCCAGGGTGAAAATTGAACGTTGGTCGGATGGACAGAATGAGTATCGATGACTGCCAGAAGAATATCTAATCAAAAAGAATGCATCTGAAATCGTTTTGTCTCGGACTGCGTAGAGTTGGGCAGTAGATTATGCGGCCTAGATCACTAGAAAATGAAGTATTCCCATGATTTATTAATTCTTCGTAAGAGATCATCAGAAGGTTAGCTTGAATTTACCAGTCGACTTCCGCAAGTAGCTGACGAATAAACTGCCAGTTGAACGAATTCTTTTTCCACGGGACTGACAATGTAGATTAGAATTCAAGGAAGAAATTGTGCCTAATATTGGCTGCAAGAACAACGAGGTGCTCATGATCCAACACTAGTTATAAGATTTCACAGACTCGGATCTACCTGTTAAGCCTTATCCTCTCATTGTTGCGCACATCTCACTGCATCACACCAAAATTGCTGTGAAAGCTGATATGAACGGAATAGGAAAAAAAGTGAAGCAAAAGCTACTCGTCACTTTTTGTTTCACCCCAAAATTTTCGTTCAAATGTCGAAAGACTAGAAGGCCCACAAACTGTGTGATCAACTGGATGATCCATTGGCTAGAGTAAGAAAACATTTTAGAGAACAATCAATGGACAAGCTAACGGTAAAAATATTGTCCTGTAACTCAACTCAAGGTCAGGTGAGCAGATAACAACAAATCTTTTTGACCTGTAAGGCAGGTAGACGGGGGAAGGAGTGCAACCACGTGTTTAACTGTGGTCAAATTGGAGAACAAGTAAGACATCAGTTAGCCGTTTCGAGTTAATTGACCAATTGGCCACCCAATATACATTCCTCTTCTCCGTCTTTTGCCCATAATTTTTCACGAATGCACATCCTTGTGTTGCTAAAATTTCCGCCGTTTTTTTTACTAGTCTCTTCTGCTCATCGAGTACGCTGTGCTTCAGTTTCGGTCTGTCCTGTATTCTGCTAGACCCACAGAATAACCTCATACTTAGTAATTTTTTAACGCGGCAAGTGATCAAGTGATTCCAGGAATAAGTGAAACATTAACAGAGAACTAACTGCATGTGACCAGGATCTGATGGGCTCCATACGTAAAAAAAGATTCGCAATTGCATGGTCACATAGATCAGGACACTGTTGTTTCTCCGGCAAAATGTTTTGAAACATTAAAAACTGCCGAAGAACCGTCAATCCAGAAGGTTGTTCATAAATCCTGAACAGAGAGAACAGTCAGTCGGCTCAAAAGAGAGGCAAAGAGAGAGCCGTGCAATAATTAACACTACGAGCTCACTGATCTTGTTGTGGAACCCGACGAGACACGTTTAATAATGCGCACTGGGAGGGTATATTCTTGTGCTTCGAAATTCGATCAGCTTGAGTATCCACATAGGAATTTCACAAAGCCCACAAGCCCCCACAACATCAAAATCAGATAGGTAGATGTTATGGTTCGATTCTGTCGTAACACTCCATTTCGTAGCACTAACAGATACGCTGAATCACGAAAGACAGACATCCATCATGGCTACTTGTTTAGAGTTCACTTTTGACAACTGATTTCAAATGCAGTTTGGTCGTTAAACCAAAATGACGAGGAAAATGTAACGAAAATATCGCAGCGCGACGGATTGTTTGATCTACATGGTGTTCAGTCTTTAGCCAACTAAGGTTGGGAATAACAGAACATTATGACGGTCGATTATAGAAGGCAAAAATGGACGTTGGTTCGTTTGCTGAGCTAGGCGATTTGGTTGAAAACCTTTCGTCACTAGTTGAGGAGAGACCATTTGTGTTCCATTGTGAAGTCAGCTCGAATAGTGATGAAACGTTTGCAACCACATTACCAAGCTCCACGAACAAATGGCCATTATTAGAACTTCAGCCAAAGATATTTCCTTTGAATGCAAACGGCAAAAATGGTCAGGAACCAATCATTGTTTTCGTCAGTCGTAGTTATCAGTATGGTCTTGTGGATGGACTAAAGGACATTTTCACCCCTATCCCTGTGAAGCGAAAAATGGTCATGTGGTACCTAGCTGGAACTTGTGCACAAAACGCGCCCAAACGGGTCTCCAGTTGCAGCGCAAACCCAGGTTACACACAGACGAACCAGTTGGCACAAACCTTACTTAATTTCCATAACCGCATGTTTCTTGCGCCTTTTATCGTCCACGTGGAGTGGAGGTCATCAGGTGATTTGCATTTGGACCAGAAGAGTTGCATTCTCTGTTGCAATATGAATGCAATGAGTCAGTCGCACACACATACACACGGCAAAAGATCAATCACATGACCCATGATCGATAAGCTAGTCAGCTGATTGAGCTAGTTTGATGAGGCTGTAAATCACAAATGAATGTACTGGGAGGATGCCAGCTCACGGGTCACTATTATTTCCACGATACGCGAAGCACACAACTCAATTCAGCAGAATTTGCCGGGCAATGAAGGTAATAAGCTCGAATCCATCAACGAAGATGGTTTTAATCACGTCATTGTGCAGACTTTGCCATACGAACCACATGGAGAGGTACGCTTGATACACGATAGATTAAGGAACTGTTTGAAATGCAAGCACTCAGCCACTGGTGATTAGCGTATGCGGAAATTCAAGCTCATGAGGTGTCTGCGACATTATTAGTGCAGGAACGTTTTTGGCCCTTTACAAGAAAAGCTACATAACGATAGCGATCCAGCAAAACGGTTATTTGTATACCGGCTCCCTGCGTCACGTTTGAGTGAGGTGAATTCAGAGGTTTCATACAACGGGTCAGATGACAGTCGGAAATAATCATAAAGAAACAAGGCTGCAGACGAAATACTTTCAGATCAAGTCAGCCCTACAGTGTCCAGCAGTGTTTAGAAACTAGCTCTGTTGCCTTGAATTTGATAGATACTGAAGCATGTCGTTCAGTGAGAAGTCAGAATGAGAAGAATTCGGAACCATCGAGAGACACAACGACCGTAGAGAAAAGATGCTACGTTGCGACGTTGTGTTTCCCATGACACAACCACTAACCGACCGCTACGCACCATTACACCCCCTAATAACGCACTGATGATGTACCTCGATTGGTGATGAAACGCTTGCAATCAGATTGCCCAGCTCAGCCCAACCACCATCTACCCTACCTGAGTAACCAACCAACCAACTGTAGACTAGGTGTACGATTCGACATACGGACCAGTCTCTTTAGAAAAAGTTGCGAGTGATCGGAAAAAGGTCCCATACATGGTGATGCGACCAGACCAAAACATTTGGGGACATTTTTCACCTTTATACAAGACGATGGAATTTCCAAAGGGTCCAGTTCTGTATGGATGGCATTTTTTGATCTTACACTCACTATAACAAGTGAAAAGATTTTGAAGTTTCAAACATAGCATCCAGTCTGCATCCCACAAACAAGAACCACTAAAAGGAACACTAAAGGAAACAGCTAACAAGGTTGCTCAAAACTCCTCAACAGCCCACGACCGCTTTCGCCCTTCTTGGGACTCGTGAAAACCAAACTGATATGCTAATGAGTGTATTTCTCGAAAACAGTGCAATTTGGGTTCAATTAGATCATAAGGTTGACGGAAACTTGGGGACTGCGCCTACCTGATGAGCCCCAAGAAGGGCGAAACCGGTCGTGAGCTGTCCAAGAGTTTTCAGCAACCTTGTGATAGATTCCTTTATGAAAATATACTGCGGTATCTCGAATATCGTGCCAACTGGAACATGAGGCGGCCTGTGTGCAGCACATTCAGTTGTAGAATATCACAAACGAGAGGTTCAGTTGAGTTTGTCGTGAAAACCAAATTGATTTGCAAATGACGGTATTTCTTGAGAACAGTATTCTTTTTAGGAACCATCAGCGGAATATGGCCGACAAACCTCTAGTAATATTGTTCTGTTAAGGAGCGATGAAACGCTAGTTTATGCAGTGTGAACTATGTTACTGGAATACAATGACATATTAGTCACACTTGGGATTAGCCGAGCATAGCCGAACACTAAAGTGTTCATTCTCCCATATAGAAGGTTGCCTGTTAGAAACTCCTGACGGGTCGAATGCGGATACCTGATAAAACCCATATACAATCTAATATATGTATGGTGTTTCAGGTCTTTTTCGTATAGGCTGACCTGAATTCCAGGAAAATGTTTCAACCTGAAGCTTCTAATGTCACAAAAGCCATTCGGACGGTGACCGTCTTTTATTCAATGTTGCAAGACGAGATATTACTAGATGCACCCGGTGAAAACGAAAACTCGAGGACCACGTATGAAAAAACCCAAAGACGACTACAAGAAACCCAAACAGTAATTTAATCAAAAAATGGGATGACACTCATTCTACAAATAACATCACATACAACCCAGTTCGCGGGCTACAACTAAAGCGGCTCCAATACGCCTGGGTCTTTTGCTTGACAGCAATGCGATGCTGATAGTACTGTTTTACGGTCATATCACACTGTACAGCTTCACACCCACTGGGCACAGTCATAAAGATACTGGACCCTACGTAACTGTGACGGTTTGTGTGCCTCCTAGACACATTAAGCTATACTGGGTAGTGTCCTTGTGACCACTACAGAGTCTCTGATGCCTGGTTGGCCATTGGTTGGATAGCAGATCAAGGGTCGCCTGTTGTTGGTTGGAACATGTACGGCGACTTGTTCCAGAAAAATGGTAATGCACTGGCATCTTCGGCCAAATACCACTGGTGTTCTTGACTTTAACGGCGCGTTCGAGTCCGTCCATCGGTTATTCCCGTAGACCAAATATGCTCAACATGGTATGTCCCAGAAGTTTGTGAACATAATCCGGTCCCTATATTCACATACTTCTGGGTGTGCGAGAGTTTAGAGTGAGTTCTCCAAAAGCTTCCCTACAAAAAGTAGTGTCTGACAAGGATGTTCATTCTTCCCACTCTTGTTCAACTCCAGCACTGATAAACAAATGAGGCGAACGCTGGAAGGTCTTCGAAATCCTGGTGTTCATCATCATCATCATCGACAGCATGACATAAGTGTTCAACACTGATGCTTCACTACCGTACAACCATGACTTATTTGAAAGCCTTATTGTAAAGAAAAGAATAAAGGTGGATGGGGGAGGGACTTAGTGCTAGCTTACCCCAATCATTCCGAGGTGCCTACACCTCCAGACATTCACTCAGGCAATCTGGATAGAAACTGTCAACAAGAACGCCACTGACATCGGTTGGCAGCCATATCCTGTAGTGTCTCCAACCAGGCACAATGAGGATCACGCGGTCCCAACCCTGGAAGGCGAGTAGCACCGACAGCACCCAAGCGTTTCGTGATCTCCTTCATACTCCTCTGCCAAGTCTAGGTTTGGTCACCTCTCTGTTTCCGCCGCTCTGAGTTGGGCATGGAAAACAGCACTCTCTTCGGCAAACGATGGTTCGGCATACGCAACACATGTCCCAACCAACTCAGCTTCTGGTGCTGGACACACTCTTCAATGGAAGTAGTCGTTACACAACAGAAAACACGCTTTCTAACTGGTGTTCAAATCTTTACGAAGACCTTGTCGATCTGGCGTACGCAGACAACATTACCCTCATTTTCGGAGACGGATGCACGGTACAAGCTATGTTGAATATTCTGACGACTATCGCACCATCATACCTCCAAAGGGAAAAGTCGTGCTTAGGGACGTGCAGTCTCTGAACATACCCCTTGCATTTCAAGGAGAATCACTGGAGGTTGTGAAGAATTGTATGTGTATCGATAGTTGTATTAGCTCTATCGGAAGTGTCTCTGATGAAGTCAGTGCGCGAATCTCAAAAGCCAGAATCATGTTTGGTAATTTGCCTCAATTGTGGCGGAAAAAAGACATACAGTTGGGTCTAAAAGATCGCGTGTACCAGGCTACATTAAGAGTATCGTTGCGAAACATGGCCTCTCCGAGCAGATGATCTGAAGCATCTTCAGGTTTTTTACCACCGATGCCTCATAAGTGTTGGCGGTGTTGGATGACATCTACAAATTCGCACCTGGATAATCAGAAAACGGGGTTTTGGTTGTGCAACAGATATTTAGATCGTCGAGAATATCCAGCACCATCAACTGCGGTGGCTGTTGAGTGACGGTCCACCCAGACGAACTCTGTTGTTCGTGTCTGCTTTAGAATGAAGCAAACTGGGAGGTTCACAACTTGTGAATTAAGAGAAATGTGTGAAGGCGACTCCGAAAAAGCTTTGTGCTGTCGATGCAGTCGACCTTCCTGGACCGAGTGTTCTTCATCGTCCCGGGAGCACTTGGCGTAAGGCGTCAGGAGAGAGGGCAGTCACTTGATGTCATTGGCATTCGTTTTGTCAGTTTCCTCCTAGATTGTCCGATCGGGTGTTTGGAAGTTTGAGTACCTCATAACGCTTAGAGTAGACTAGCACCACGTCCCCTCCCGATCCACTGTTCCCTTTCTTCAACCACTGGGCTTAAATATAACCAAATAAACTGAGTTTTTTTCGCATGTCAAGCACCGATGTCACCACTGTTGTTGCCCACCCCGATGATGCTGATATGTGTGATGTCACAAACAGCTCCGTGTCAATCCTGCTGACGGCATCCTAGTCCAACACACTACTCAGACGAATATACCTTGCTACATTTTTAAGGTGTAGCACCTAAGTTCCATATGTCTTCCTTAAAAACATAAGACCCTAGTACCCTTGATTTCACTCTGTGTTAGGGCTGTTCATCATGGCAGTGCCGGCCGACAACTGAAGCACACAACACGTGCAGTTCGCTTGACAGAGAAACAGCTGAACAGGCGCCGCACATCAATCTAAAATCATTCACAAGAGACTTTGCATCAACAGATCGATTCCGTCTCCCTCAGACGGAAAACTTCCATGCGGTAATGTTCCCCAAAGAGGCAACTATCGCAAGTTCGGGGTGACTATCTTTCGTTTGGCTCAGATAGAACGTTCCGTTCTCATGTACTGGATTTGATCTGGATACTTCAGTTGTTCTCTGCACCGTATTTTGGCTCATTCTTCAGATCTGGTTGCATAGTTGTTGAGCTTTTCTCCCACGGTTTACTGTTGCACAAGCTTTTAAAAAACATCTCCAAAATATGCTGTTCACACAACAGTGAGTGCATCGATGAAACAGCATGACATAACAAGAAGATATCAGCAGACCAGGTGAAGCGGCGTCAGTCTCACAAACAACTGACGTCGTTATGCGACTTCAGAAAAAAAACTACGGTTCATTCTGCCAGTAATTTCCACTAAACTAGTAACCGGTAGTCCGATAAAACCAGCGGGACAAACATGAAACAGACGTACCATAATACGATGGACATGTTAGATAAAGCGCGGGCAGCTCTGCTCCACACAGTGTCACTCCATGGACCTATTGCTAACCGGATTTCCAGCTCAGTGAGCCCCAGGGCCAAGTCCTCTAACACTCTGTCTGAACTAACGTGTTGTCGTTATACACTTGAATCATTCTTATTGCGAGACATATGTCTGTGACATAGCAATCAATTCCGGTTGGTTTGGGCTG